CATAGCAAGTCAAGTGTAGAAAAGCCAGGAAAACTATCTTAGCTACCTAGCCTCCCTCCACCTGCAGAAGGCACTCAACTGTGTACTCCAAAACCCTTGTGAACGCTTCGAGAACAAGTTTCAGAATACTTCATCTAATAATAAAAGGAAAAACAAAAGCTCCTGTTTCAATGTTAATTTATTAAATGTGAGTGATACGTTTCGCCTCAATTTCAGACGAATTACTTCGTTTTTCACCTAGCCCTGGAGCTGATCAGTAACTAGGGGTAGGTGAAAAACAATAAGGTATATGAGTAGTGGTAAAAGTAAGTTATTAGTAAGTGTACGAGATAGTATTGAAATTTATTACTTAACATTAAAAAATTATATTAAAATATAAGCGTATCTCGTATAGAACTAAATAAATCAGAGAAGAAAGGACCATATATAGAGTAAAGACTAGAATAATATAGAAACTTACTACCAAGAATCGAAATATGAAAAAAGTGGCGGAAAAGAACAACTAAAAGAAGCGGAAACCAATGTGAAGTAAAAGGATAAAGTGAAAAGGATAACTATAAAGGTGAAAGTGAAATAAAGGAATCAAGAAGTGATTCGAACCAAAGGCATAAAGCGTAAGTAATATAAACAAAAAATATAAATTAATAGAAAAGCACCTATCCGAAAGCAATACGCATGCAAGTCAATTACGCAGCCAACTTCCGCAGGCGCTTCTTTAGGTAGCATCGAATTTCAGTACAAACAGACACAGACAGACAGACAGACAGACAGACAGACAGACAGACAGACAGACAGACAAACAGACAGACAGACAGACAGACGCGAAAGTCTTATATACAGTAAGGATTATTTTATTATTCCTAAATCATCGCACACTAGAAACACTATAATAAAAGATCGAAAAAGAACTATGAACAGATGGTGCAGGTGCAGTAGTCTGCTGAAATTGCGCTAACACCTTTCGAATAAGTACAATTCAATTACCAGCTCTATTATTAAAGGTAAGATTGATCACCTAAAAGAGATTCAAAGAAACACCAACACGCGATAAAGTAAAAAATTTCTGGAATGGGTAATACTGTCATAGCATAAGGCGTTCATCGCGTTCCCCTCCGAATATTTACACTTTTTTCTATCTCTCCTATGAATAAAACTGAAGAAAGGCTAAATGTTGGAAAGAAACTAAACGTTTTCTACAAATTAATATCACAATACCCTACAGAAATGCGACCATTCAGCCGATGCAAGGTTATAGAATTGAGAAACTCGGCGCGAATAGAACCCGATCATTGTTGCTCCACCGGATCCATTATCTTCTTCCGAATATTTGCGCGAGCCAATTCCTGCCTGAAAAACCCGCTTGAGCGATGGAATTCTACGGTTCGCATGTATACAGCAGAACCCCTCCTTCATCAGTTCCCTTTGGAATCGAAAGCCATTAATGCCGATTATATAATATAATATAATATATAATATAATATTATATAAAATAATATAATATAACCAGACTGGTCGTCCGGTTTGACCGGGCGGCCTCACCTTCCTTTGAAGAATAGTAGAAAATGAAATAGTTACGGAGAGGGAGGGGGCTTCGCTTTTACACAACTATGTATGAGGACTTTAATGCGAGGAAAGATGGGTAGCCGACCATAAAGCTAAGATGTCGTACGATTTGAATAGTTTATAATATGGTAACTCACTCACCCCGGTGCCCTTCTCTGAAGCTTAGGTCAAAAAACTGTATGATCGAGGCTAAGAAATATTTCCGAGCACAATCATGGGCTGACCTACTTATCTCTAGCGCTCAGTGTTGAAAAAATGCGAAGTTCCTCGACTACATTATTACCTCCGATTTTTGTATAGATATACATAGCACGATGCTAATATAGATCGAAATCACGGTTTTGAAGTACCCGCTTAACTACACATTTCTCAGGAGCGGTGCAGTGATGTTTCAAATCAGAGCATACCATAATTCTTTGAAGAAGTTGATCCTGATTTTTTGAGCTTTCTCACAACAGAGGAACCAAGCGTTAATCAGAGCCGTTTGGGTGATTAGATGGTCTAATAGTCGGATATATTAGGTTGATGCATAATTATTGCGGATTTTTTCGCAGCTCTTTTTCTCTTGATAGAATTCGAATATTGAGTTCGGGTTTTTTCTAGAAATGATCTACTTGATTTCCTCTACAAGAATATACTCAAAAAACCATCCGCTTGTTCGCGGAAATAGGCTTAACTGCTTCGAGAAAGATAGGAAGGTGGCACAGTCATTCCGCGATCTCAGTAACTTTTCGGCGATCGAACAATCAGCCAGAGCCAACCAAGAAATGGGATCTGCCCCTGAATCTGCCATATTCACCAGCAGAAACTTTTGTGAAATATCTCTTTAACTGTTCATCGAAAAAATGGCTAGAGAATAGAAGTTGCGTCGATTTGGATGACTTGATGGCCGATGTCAAGGCGTCGATCGCCCGTAAGGATCAAATCTTCTCGCTTTTGGGATCCGACTATTAATCAGTGGGAAGCAGTGCTTGACGTAGATGGTGAATAAGTTCCGGAGTAATTATTTGAATATGTCTTTGCTTGGTATTTCTGTAGTTTCTTTAAGTTAAATTTGCTGGAAAAAATCCGCAATAATTATGCATCAACCTAAAATATAGAGGCTGGTAAAATGCAGGGAAATAGAAAATATCAAAATGTTTGACCGTATTTG